TGACAGAGGACTTGGGGAGAAGAGAAAGCTAGCGTCCTGTGGCATCAAGTCATCAAGCCAGGAAGTGTAAATTAGCCTTGACATTAGGCTGAGTTATTGTTATGACTCAAAGGTTTTGCAGGACCCGAGGAAGGACACACGCATGCACACATGCACGTACAAACACACAGAGACATGCACACACAAACACACACACACACACATGCAAGACAATACGGGAAACAGAAAACTCTAGAGAAAACCAACCCTGTAGACACAACGAGGGGCTTTGACAATTACACCCAGCCTAGAAACACGTTTCCTGGCACCTCTGCCTTATTCTCCCCACAAGAGTAAGGGACACCGAAATGCCAGACCCTTTCCCATCCTTGTGGCTTCTTTGCAGTCACTGGCTGAAGACACAATCACATCGGCTTGAATGTGGGAAGAGACTGCAGAGGAGAGACAGATGTCTCTTAGAACTTGTTTGTTCTAGAGGAACCTCCCTCTGGGTGCCCAGCGGGGCTAGGAAAGCATAGGGAAATCCTGGCATCAGACAGAAGTACACAGGCCTCAGGTCAGCCCAAGGATCTGGGATCTGGGGGCCTCAGTGCAAAGGGAGAGAAGGAGGTAGGAGTGACCCCAAATGAAAGGCACAGGCACAAAGACCTCCTGATTTGAGGGGGCTGTTCCTTTAAGCCCTTAGAACATGTGGGTCCATGTGTCACAGCACACTGGGACAGAGAGGATGGTGAGTGATGCCTTTGGCTTTAAGTACCCTCCTCTTCACCCCTGGGCCATGTGCTGAGCTCCAGGAAGGAATTTAACTGGAGTGTTTGGTGTGGATGTGGGCTGGTAGAGACAGGGTGATAGAAGGGAGGAGGACAGGTGGAGGTTCCCTAAGAACCGCCTGGAGGCAGGGTGTGTCAGTCCTCCTTTAACGTGTAGAACCCTCCTGGGCTTGATAAGGTCATGTGTCTGCTTGATAGGATGGGTGTCCAGTCTCCCCTAGCGACTTTCCCTTGCCTACCATGGCCACATATAGTAACAAGATCATTCACGCGTCTGCTGGAATCAGTCTCTGTTCCTGCCATCTTGTGGTTTTGTGGCTGGGACCGTGGGCTCCAAGGCTTGACGGCTCTGGCTTTTTTTCAGTCCAGGATCTGGACTTGCTAGCCGTGGAATCTTGGGCAGGGTACTTAGCCTTTTTGTCTTTAATCTGGTACCTGGGAGTAAAAGCAACTGGGACAGAGATGTGGAATTCTTAACTCAGAGTAAAGTACTTTCAACAGCTGACAGCGGCCTCGCCTTCTCCAAGTGCCCCTTTTAGGCCAATATAGCTCTGATTTGGGCTTTTGGGGAGGAAACAAGCCTTTTCTGGGTGTGGACAAAAGCTCTTTCTTTCCCCCTGGTTGCTTTTCTTTCCATCTTTTCGGGGGCCCAGGAGGGTTTCTGGTTATCCAGGGCTGCCTCCAGCAGAGCTAGGTGTCTGCCCACCCCTCTCCGGAGACAACGGCAGAAGGCTCTGTGTGAGCCCCTCCAGGGCCACCTGGAGCCCAACAGACTCCTTTATCAGAAGTCCAAGACTGCCTCTTACAGATAATGGCATTCGTTCTTTTTCTGTTAGCTCGATTCGGGGAAACACTGATGAGAACGGTCCCCCTCTCTGCCCGAGGGGGGCGATGCTCAGGAACAAACGTGTTCCCAGAGGTCTACCATGAGCCCTTCATTCAGAGACCAGCTGGCGACCACATCAGAAGCCCTCGTGGGGCCCCAGCCTGAGGCTGAAGGCTGGCCTGCGTTTTCTACCAACCTCACCCCACCTCCATGAGGCAGGGACCCACATGCCCCCCATTTACTGATGAGCACACTGAGCCCCCCCAGGAACCCAAGTGACTTCTTTCATGTCATACAGTGACAGTTGGGATCTGAACCCAGATTGGCCTCAGGCGTCTGAGTTCTCAATGGAGAGCGGCAGGCCCTTGGAGCACCAAGAGGAGCCCAGAGCTGGGCTTTCTTGCTTTTCCCCGGTGAGTGTGTGTGGGTGGGGAGGTGTGACTTGGTGGTTGAAGCTTGGGGCTTCAGAAATCTGGACACCACATGAAACATTCCTTCCAGGATCCATGTTTCTGAGACTCACTATCTTTAGCTGAAGTCTATGCTAATTTTCTGAGGAACCCAGAACTCTGACTGTATCTTTTCCTCCCATCCTTTTCTCCCTCCCAGATAAACAAGGTATTTCATACCATCTCCCACCTCCCTGGAAATGTCCCAGCTCAGTGGTCAGGGGAAGCATGTTAATAACGGGACAATGCACAGTGACCCAGAACCTCTAGTTGGTGGGGGCAAGGGGCAGGGTGTCTGTCTTTTCCCCTGGCAGAAGGATAGAGGAGGGAACCCAGAAGCTAAAGTCTGACTTAACAATGATAACAGAAACCAGAAACCTTACTTTGGACTTGACAGTTCACAAAACAAGGTCACATGCTTTATCTCCTTCCATCCTCCTGATAACCTCCTAAGGTTGTTTGTTACTGTCGGGTTCTTACAGATATGACTCAAAGAGACTGAGTGACTCCCCCAAGGTCACACAGCCCAGATGTTCTGACCCCACATCTGGACTCATTTCTAGTAAATTCCATGGCCTCTCTATTCTGTCTGCCAGCCCTTGACCCACCTTATCACCTTCTTTGGATCCAGCTCAAGCTGACTGCTTACCTCCTGCCTCCAGAGAGCCCCAGCCTGGTGAGCAGCCTGTCTCCCTTGCCAAAGAGGGCCAGGGGGCCTCTGAGACACAGCGCCTCCCTCAGCCCCTTGAGCCTTGGGACCTGCCATCCTGGGAGGATCCCTAACCCTGTAGATGGCCCAGCAAGGTCACTGTCACCAGACAGAGCTCAGTTCGAGGCTGGAACTGCAAGTGGGAGAAGAGGGTGTACAGGGCTCTGGACTTTGCTCATTCATTCATCTGCTCAATGCACGTATGCCGGCTCACACTGGAGACTCCAGTGCTCATCAGACATTGTCCCGTCCCCAAGAGCCTGTGGGGATGAACTGCTGTTTTACTCTCTGGGTTCACTGGCTGTCCCAACGCCCTGATGTGGGTTAAATCCCTCAGAAGCAAAAGAGCCCCCACCCCAGAAGTGGACTTTCCCCCATGGTGGGGGGCCTTGCCCTGGGGATCTTCACAGGGTGCCCAGCAGAGCTTCCCTCTGCCCTGTGAAAGGGCTCCAGGTGGTTCCCTAGAGCGGGGAGCCAACATGAAAGAGCGCACAGGGTGGGCAAGAATAGCTGGGGGGGTGGGGGGGTGGGCAGGGCCTTAGATCACCAAGGCTCCAAGCTGTGCAGACATCAGGCCCTGGTGATGTGCTGAGGTTTCCATCCTGGACCACCTTGGCTAACCCCGGGGCGGGGGGTGGGGGAGGGATGGTGAAGGGACTCAGAATAGATGGGAAGCCATTGGTCAGGTCCCTCCAGAAAGTAAAATGACCTGCCCAGAGTCCTACTTGATGGCAAACCTGATTAGAGCAACTTACTGGAATGGGCTCTCTACACAGACGCAGGATTAAGCCACCCAATGTCCTGGACCGTCTTCAAGCTGGGGCAAAACAATAGGAACTAAGATGCCCAGAACCCAATGTTAACGAAGGAGGAAGGTGTGTGTTTGGGATGGGTGGGGGCCTTGGGAGGCAGGGGGTGGGGCAGTTTAAGGATCGAATAAACCCAAACCCTCAGGGCAGGTCCCAGCAGCTCCCACAGGCAGAGACACACGCCCAGGCCTAAAAGCTTATAGGTCAAGTTACAGCAGAGGTGCCGTTAAGACCTCAAATCCCTCTCCAAAGTCAGGGGCTTAGAGCTTGCCAGAAATTTCAAGGTAGCTCTTCGAACTTCAAGTTCCTCATTTTGTTAACTTCCTCTGATCATCTGTAGACAGGTTTGAAAATTCGGAGCAAAACTTACCCTGAGTAGATACTTAGGAGGCAAAGGTCCCTAGAAATTCACAGGTCTGGGATTCCAAACCTCAGGGACAAGTGACACTGTCTTTCAATGAAGCCTCCCCACCAGGGTCCTAGCAGTGCCATGGGGACCACTGTCTAGCATCACCTACTGAGCTCCCTGGGGAGCCAGCCACGGTGCACCTCCTGAAGGCAGGGTTGAGTTTTACACATCTTTGCCCCAAAGGCAAACCATAATGAATGGAGCCTCCCTCGCTGAGCACTGAATTCGGATAAGGAGCGGCAGAATTACACAGGGGTGAAGACTTTGTCCTGGAGGTATGCTTAATTGCTGTGTAATCTAACTGGGAAGGCCAAGCCCCAGACACCTGTAAAAAGGAGAACAAACTGCTGAACCGCTGGCCCTAAAAGACAAAATAATGTGTTAAAAATGGAGGCAAGGAGGGAGCGTGGGCAGCGCCCCAGCCAATCAGGTAAGTTTTCACGGGACCGTTAAGACTAAGCGGTGGTTTCAGGACCGCCAGTAATTGGGGGGAAGAGCTTCCAGCTGGCAGCAAAGTGGGGTAAAGCACCAGCCCAAAGGGACCTCCTGTAGGGTCCCACAAAAAGCCCCCTGCGTTGGAGCACACACCATCTCCAGGCTTTATTTTTATTTTTTAAGATTTTATTTGTTTGATTTTATTTGTTTGACAGAGAGAGACACAGCGAGAGAGGGAACACAAGCAGGGGGAGGGGGAGCGGGAAGAGCAGACCAGGCCTGCTCCTCTGGGGCTCGGGAGTTCATCGTCCCAGAGGTTCACTCGGAGCAGAACTTGAACGTAGTCTCCGCGGATACTTAGGCGGCACAGGACTCGGGCCTCCGGAAAGCTGGCCGATCAAAGCCAGGTCACCCCGCCCAAACCCCCCTCTTGCACCCGCTCGGGGCTGGCCTCGCTCCGGCCCCTCCCCGCCCCTCTCGATCCCAGGAAGGGTCCGGGACGGAATCCACTGGCCTAGCAGCGCAGACCCCCGGGCTCCCGTCTCCCGTGGGTGCCGGGCCGGGAGGCAGGGGCCCGGGAATATTGGTTCCTGGACACCCCGGGGCTCCCCGGGACCCCAGCGCCCCGGCTCCCGGCCGGCCTCCCCACATGGAGCTCCGACGGTCTCACACCGGCAGATTTGAACCGAGGAGGCCAAGCGGCCGGGCGGGGGTTCGCAGCCGCCATTGGCTGCGGCGGCGCCGTGACTTCAGCGCGGAGGGCGCGGGCGGGAGGGCGCGGGAGGAGCCTGGAAGGGGAGTGTCCGGGAGGCTCGCCGCCCAGAAAGCCGGAGAGCCAGAGGGAAACCGACGCCGGCGCTGACATGGGCCTCCAGCCCCGGTGCCGCTCGGAGCCCACGGAGGGGACAGCGCAGCCACGCCGGCCCGGCGCTCGCGTCTCTGGGGACCCAGGTAGGCGACAGCCGCCTTCGCCCTGCGAGGCCTGGGTGGGCTCGAGGCCCCCAGAGGGGCGGAGAGGATGGAAAACGCCTGCAGAGGAGGCCGAGGGGCGGGGAGGAGAGCCCAGAGACCCCCACTCCTGCGCCCGCCCCCGGGTGGAAGGGCTGGGCCGGGGCGCGTGCGGGGCGGCCCTGGTGTTGGGACCCGGAGCCGCGCACCCCCTGTCCGAGCCGATCGGGCTTTGGGGAGGAGGGGCGGCCGAGAGCCGGGGAAGCCGCGCTCCGCCTCGATTTCCTTTCCCCAGACTGGGATTCGGCGTCCGGCCCAGGGCGCTGCTGGGGCGGGGGGGACGGGGGTTCCCGGCTTTAAAGGTCCATCCGCGGGCGGGGAAGTGGGGCGTGCGCCGGAGCGGGCAAGGGCACCACAACCGCCGCGCGCTGCCAGCCGTCCCCGCGAGGGGGGCGTGTGTGCGCCCGGAGTTCTCGGTGGTTAAGAGCCGAATTCTTCGCGGGTAGTGGCGGAGGCGTGCACACACGCGCTCGCTCTCGTACACACACTGCAGCACACGCCACCCAGTGTCCCCGGGTCGGGGAGGAAAGAGGGAAGGAGCTGCCTAGAAGGGACCGGCCGGGGAAACAAACACTGCTCTCCCCAACCCCCCCCCGGGCTCCCGCCCCGCCCGCCGCCTCGGAAGACCTGGAGGCCGCGGCGGGGGAGGCCCGGGCGGCAGAGGCCCCGGCGCCTCCGGGCGGGGTGGGGCGCAGCCGAGCCCGCTGCCCCGCGGAGGGGCTACGCGCGGGGTCGGCGCGCCGGGTGCGCCCGGGGCCAAGCGCTGCGGGCCGGGCCGACGGCCGCCAGCGCTCGGTTAATGATTTAATCACCCGCTTGGGGCGGTGGAGCCGCGGTCGCAGCCGTCGGTGGCTCCGCCCCCTCCCCGGAGCGCCCCCAGCCGGGGGGTACAAAACTGTCCCTGTCTCCGGTGCGTACCCCGTCAGCTGCCCTGCGGGCTGGGCCGCCGCGGGTGAGTTCGGGACTGGGGGAGCCGGGCGAGAAGCTGGAGCCGGGGCTGGAGGGCTGTAGCTGGGCGGGTTCCTGGGAGAGGACTGAGCGGGAGCACTATGAGCGTGTGTGTGTGTGTGTGTGTGTGTGTGTGTGTGCGCGCGCGCGCGCGCGCGCGTGTGTATGTGTGTGTGTGCGCGCGCGTGTGGCTTGGGGGGGAGGGGTGCTCTGCTAACTCAAACCAGATTCCTGGTGTTTCCCGTAGAGATACTGCAGCCCGGGCTTTGGAAGTTTTCTTTCTGTCCCTAGGAGAATGGAGGGGAAATACAATGCTTTCTCTTTTCTTGTCGCCCTTTGCAATCTGACTGGCTCCCACGCCCTCCGCTGCGGCCGCGGCGCCTATTCTTGGCCGGTGTGTATCCGCGCGGTTGTATAGGGAAAGGGTCCCCGAGCCGCTGCAGCCTGCTGCTTCTCTCTAGAGGGTTTGTGGTGCTGGAGGGAGGCTCTCCCTCATCCTCACCCCCGGCGGCCATCTGGACCAGGGGGCGCTTTCCCCCTGCAGCCAGCGTAAACAATGAGGGGCCCCGGCGCAGGAGGGCCCCCTTGTAATGCAACTTCTTGGAGCAGTCAGGGTTTCTAATAACTCCCCGCCGCCTCCGCCCCTTTTCCGAGGCTGGGGTGGAGGAGGGGACCACCAGCAGGACGGACTGAATTTTAAGAGAACAAAGAACAGGGCACAAAGGAAGGGGAAGCCGAGCTGTGGGTTTCCCCCAGAAATGGGGAGTTTGCTGGCCCAAGGCTGGGCCCATCCAGGCCTCTAGGTGGCTCCCAGGCTCCCGGAGTAATGGGCCATTCTCTGGAGTCTTGGGAGGCTCGCTGCCTGTGAGGTAGCTAGGACCCACCAGTGTGGGGGTGCCATGTGGTCTCCCATTTTCACCAGTTGGCCTGTGTGAGCTGCCCATGTGACTGACTGATTAGGGTGTTTATCTCCTCCAAGTGTGGACTTCGCCCCTCTCCTCCTTGAGTACAGCTGCTACTTCCCACAACGGGGGCTTCCGTGAACCTAGGGCAGATAGACCAGTGGGTTCTGGTCCCCCCCCCCTCCCGGGTCCTGGCAACCCACGTAGGGACTGGGAGTGGGCTGGTGTGATCAGGTGTGTCTGTTCCCAAGAGGTGGCAGTTTGGGGTGAATCCCAGCCCTTCTGATGTCTCTTTCCTGAGCTCACAGATCCCCTGCTCATTGTCGAGCCAGGGTTCATATAAAAGCCTTCGCTCAGTCCTCCGCTTGGAACATTCTTTCTGTTATCTGGGGTTTCTGCCATTTTTTCTCTTGACCCCTCTTTTTCGCTTTCATGGCTGTCTTACACATGCCCACCCACCAGTGCTCATCCCAGTCAGGTGTGCGGACCCAAATTGACTTCTGTTCTCCTGCCCCTTAGAGACTGACTGTCCAGCCCTCCCAGGACTGGAGTCCACGGAGTCCTAAGCGAAGGAGAGTCTAATTACAAAATGGGCCGGCTCTCCCACCCCCACCCCCAGCAGATGTTGACCTGGGAGAGGAATCTTAGACCCTTCTTGACAAGTCAGGCGCTTTCCGGGAAGGGCCCCAGATTGGCTCTGGTTCAAGGATTCCAGCCCCCTCCACCTTTGGAGCAGCTGATTGATTTCTGTGGCTGAGATAGGCTGTGCCCAGGTGTGGCAGGCAAGGTGTTTGATATTGGCCAGGCTCACGAGTCGGCTTTCTCTTTCTCCCCCTCCCCCCTCCTTCACTCTCCACCCTATCTTTCTTCCCTTATCTGGTTTGGGCCGGTGGGAGTGGAGAGCCAACAACTCCTGCTGGGCAATGTCTCCAGCTGGAAGTTCCACAGGCTCAGAGCAGCTTGGCCCTAGGTGGGGAGGGAGGAGTCTTGTCCCTTGGAGGAACAGGATCTGGGTTGATGCAAGAGATAAGGCCTGGGGGCGGAGGGATGGGGCTTACGCAATCTTGCCCTGGATGCTGAGAGAGGGCTGACCCAAGCTTAGGTCTTCTGACCTACGTCCTGGAGGCTTTTCCTCAACCTTGGGAAAAGGAACCAAACTCTGGAGCCAGCTGGCAGAGTCCTGAAGGCCTGCTCTGGAGAGGACTTCTGGGGTGCTCAGGGGAGGACAGACCCGTGCCAGCCTTCTCCAGACAGGGAGGTGGATGGTGGCTCCAGGAGGGACTGGTATGGGGCTGGATGTGGCCCTTGTCTGTTCGCCGTGCATGACAAAGGAAGTTGAAGCTATTAGTTGCCCACATTCCCACTTGGCGTGTCCTCGAAGCTCAGGTTTAAAATACGCTGCTTGTGGAGCCTTGGGCTCCCTTCCAGAAACGTACATCAGAGTCTCCCCCAGGCACTGCCAGCTTGCAGCTTGGGGCTCCGTGCCAGGGTGGCAAGCCCTGGCATCCAGACCCCTCCACCTTCTCCAGGAACGGGGGCACTGGAAATCTCTACTCAGGCTCCCAGGCTGAGGAATGGGCTCCCTTTTGGGCCCGGAGGACACAAAAGGAGCCTTTTCTGGGCTCCACTGTAGCCTCTACATCTCTGTTGAGAGCTGGATTAGGTCCTATGGACCAAGCAGTGTTTTATTGGGGGGAGGGGTGGAGAATGTGGAGGGTTTGCGCCTTATCGGTTGCTGGTAGCCCCCAGAGCGCCCCCAGATTCCTGAGTTATCCAGCCCTCATCCTAGAGAGGAAGGGCAGGGAGCTATTTTATCCCACCTTTGTCTCATCTCTCCCCACCCCCCATCAAGCTGAAATCAGAAAGAGTGTTAAGTCCTGTCTGAGAAGCCAGGCTCTTCCCTCCTGCAACACAAAAGATCGGGAAGGTGGAAGTCAGGTGGGCAGGGAAACCAGGTCTCAGGTTGCTGGATCTGTGGCTGGGGGGGACTAGAGTCCCCCATGCCGGGCCTCAGAAGCTTGGAGTTTCCCTCTCCCTGCAATGCCTCATCGCGGGGACCCTCCAAGGACTTCGAAAAGGGTCAGCCCTGGACCCTTTTGGATGGGGTATTGTCAGATGACACTGAGGTAGGTGTCCCGGGTTCATCACGTGTCCTTCTGAACTTGGCCAGAGCGTCGGTCACTGGGGGTGCTGGAATTTTCCTCCTGCTTCTCCAGATACAGACACGGGGTATGCACTGAGAGGGAGAGAGAACACGTCACAGCACCTCCATGGCACACAGGTGAGCGCTCACCTCCTCGGCACACAGGTGAGCACTCACCTCCTCGGCGGTGACATTGGGAGGTCCGTGCTATCATGGATCAGATCACTTGGAAAGCTATAAGCTAGTGCGCAGCAGGCGCCCCGTGTGGCCAGGCTGGGAGGCACCTGGCTCCCGGGTCCATGCTCTTTGCCTGTACCCTGCATGCACCCTGGCAAGGCCAAGACCCACCCATTCGCAGCCTGCTCTGGAGCGAGTATAGACCCATTTGTCCCCTCTGAGAGCCAAGAGCCAAGTGTCCTCTCCATTGTCCCCACTCCTCCGCTGAGCACTGTACACTCAGGAGAAGGGAAGTGAAACTGAACAGGGCTTGGCATATCTGATTTCAAGCCCAGCCACGTTCTTTCTGAGGCAGGAGCTCTGGGCAGGAGGGAGGAGCAAGGGGGCCCCTCCCAGGTGAGGGAGACCTGCCCTGCGCTCGGGCTGCTGATCCGGAGCCCCCCACCAACCCCCTGGCACCTCTTCCTCTCTCCCAGCTCTTCCTCTGTGATGGCAACCCGGTGCGGTGCTTGTATCCGTCCGTCTGTCCCAGGACAGGCTAGGGGAAACACGTCTCCAGGAAGAGCGCCTCCACTAGCCGAGTTGCTGAATGCCCTTGAGTCACTGGCTCTTCATCTTGACTCCCTTGTAGCTTCCTGTCCTCCCCCACCAAGGGGTCATGGGTCATGCCTTCTCTTTTTTTCCAGAGCTGTTTTAACTCCCAGGTGGTGAGGAGGCTTTCTCCCTCCCACTCCCACTGCCTTCCCTGCCTCCCTCCCCTGGCCCAGAAGCGC